TTCAGCAGGGAAAAGTGTTTTCTAAAGCCCTTAATAAGCAGCAATGCGTTGTCTCATGCTTTTACCTAATGTAGTACCAGTGCATCCGTGAGGGGCAGGTGGTGCCCAGCGTAACACCTCCCACAGAACTGGAAAATGGGTAATGGGTTTTCCTTAATTAGAATTGAGCCTACTGTCCGTAGAAAGGCCAAAACTATTAGCAAGGGAAGGGAGAAGCCGCTTACTGTGATCAGCAGGTGGGACAACTATTCACTGAGTGACACTGCAGTACGTCTCTTGTCTTTTGAAAGTTGGACTTTGAGGGGAGCTGCATTGGCTCAGAGCAGACTCTCAGCCTGCAGTATAACACTGCTCCTCCCAGCAGCTTTGTTTCACACCATCTTTGCATACCTGTGTTGCATTTTCTGGTGCAAACAGAACCCTCAGGGGAGGGGACGGCCCCTTAAATTTTGCTGCATTGGCTAGTTGTTTCTGTTGTCCATCCCAGCATCTGCAGAAGTATCTTCAGAAACGTTTTCACCTGTCTCAGGAGTCTCAAGGCTTCAGCTGGGACTATCTGTGCCAGCAAGGCACTCACAGGGCTCCCCCTGCAGTCACTGTGCACCAGTGCATTGCTGGGGGTGGGGACTTGGCATTAAAAAGGTGCTTGTTCACCTAGTTCTGAAAGGGTCAGATAATCCTTTTTCAGGCTGAACTGCTCCAGTTCAGCCTGACACATAAACTGACACATAAACACTGACACATAAACCCTGCCACACATCAGAGAAACTTCCCTGTCCAAAAAGCTGTGATCCTACAAAGACATAAGCCTATTTTCATGAAGGCGTTAGGCTTCCAACTCCTACTTGAGTATGTTCCATTGAAAACCCTATTAGTCTTGTAGATTCAGTAGATTCAGTATTCTTGTACCATTCAGTGTCGTGCCGTAGCCTTACTAAGAGCAGTGCAGTAATTAATTAAATAGTACAGTTCAGATCCTCAAATGTCATCAAGGAAGAACCGAGATCTGCAGAAATTACTACCTAAATGGGCATCCACATTTCTGCCATCAGTTTATACACAGCTCCCCAGCAGGGCCCAGGACTAATGGCTTCCTTCCAGTTTGTATCTCATGCTAAGCATGCGTTTGAAGCTCTGCATTCCCTGTCCTGTCTCAGGAGTACCCCAGTGGTATGGAAGACATAATTCAAATCCCTGCTTTGCCTGGGTAGAAGCAGAGAGGCAATCCAGCTCTTCCTCCCCTGGCAGAGGATTGCCAAGTATCACTAGCCTGGGGCAGTGAAGTCTTCTCTCTTGTAGCTAAGCTCCTTTCTGCAATATTTAAATGATTATGGGAACAAAAACTTCAACTTTGGCACCTTGCTCTAGGTAAGCTATAGCAGAGAAAGGTGTCTGGTTGGCTCCCTGTCAAGGTGTGTGTGTCACAGCCTCCTTTCTTTTTGTTTCACTTAACTAAGTTGGCTTTTGACTCAGCAAACCCCTGTTCCTTAAAATCCTTATTCCTCCCATGTAATGTGTGATATCTAGGCATCTAACTTTGGGCACAGGTTTCCCCAAGACTCTTTAGTTTTATCTTCATCAGCAACATTTGGAAGGATCTCTTGGGTTATTTAACCTCTCTGCATGCTTCCTCATCTGAATGGCTGGTTAGAATAACAGACAGCCCTTTTGCTTTTCATAATTTGCCCTTGTTCTCCAGCAATGTGGCTTTCCTTACTGAAATATACGTTGGTTTTAGCAGGCAGCAGCATACATAGCTGACCAAGCAAATAAATACTGTTTGATAACTGTAATTCCTGTGTACCTCCTTGACCAGTTATTTTGTATCTTCAATCATAGTATGCCATGCAAAAGATACGAATTAAAAAAGAGAAATAGATATTCAACTTCCAGGTGTGCTGTAGTCACTGGCCTCTTCATAGATACCTGCTTAATGCAGGTCTTAAATTTGAAAAGGAGAAAAAAAACCAGCAGAGATAACAAAAGTTTCTGGTATGGCCCTTTGGTTCTGCTCTTGATCCACCGTGTCTTTAAAAAAAAAAATGGTTCAGAAACAGAATGGATGCAACTCTTCTGTACTTAACCAAATTTCTGCTCCCTTGTCTCAGTCTCATAGCTACTGAGAATTACTAAGCACTTAATAAACATGTAGGATTGTTGTGCTTCTAAACACTAGAAATGACAGTGTCCAAAAAAAAGAAAAAAGCTGTAGATAGAATTAGCATGAACTGAAGGTGCCCCAAGGTGGGAACACATTGCGTTGACTTTGTGACTACTGGATTTTAATCCAACTTGAGTTGGATTTGAGCAGGGCCAGGTCAGAAATCCTGTGTATTTCCTGCAGGACAGAGTGTTCTGGACTGACCTGGAGAACGAAGCAATCTTCAGCGCAAACAGGTTAAGTGGCTTGGACATCTCCATTTTGGCAGAAAATCTCAATAATCCTCATGACATCGTGGTATTTCATGAATTAAAGCAGCCCAAAGGTAAGACATGTCCTTGGGGTATCATGGCCCTAAATCAGGTTTGTTTAATTAGCAAATGAAATGCTTCCTGATGGTTCTTGATGAGAGAGAAAGCACAAGTAATAATGTGAAATTGATGCCTAATGTTTGAAGTTCCTGCATAATTAATTCAGCAGCAGCATTTATTGAAAAGTCTGCAATTCGTTAATGGCTGTTTAATTAGCATCTTTGATAACAGTGAGTTACTCTTGTCACTGTGATGCTTGCCATTCATTATATATTTGGGCAGTTTTTATAGTAGTCTATAAGGTTTCACTCTACTCCAAACTGTAAAGATGATTAAGCAGCTTGATTAATTGAGGTAGGGAGTGGAAGAGAGTCTTCTTAGAGGACCTGATATTTCTTTGCCAAGAACAAGAAATAATCAGAAAAATAACTTATCTTGTCTTCCATCCTTGAACAGCTCCAGATTCTTGTGAGCTCAGCCCCCAGCCAAATGGAGGCTGCGAGTATTTGTGTCTTCCTGCACCTCAGATCTCTCCCCATTCTCCCAAATATACATGTGCCTGTCCTGACAATATGTGGCTGGGTCCTGACATGAAAAAATGCTACAAAGGTAAATACAATCACGTCACTGTTTCGCTATTCCAACAGAATCATACTTGGATTGAATGTATTTCCTGACAGTGTAGCACACGTTAGCTTTTGTATTCCACATACCTGCTGCCTTCTGAGCACAGCATTGTGGTGTCCTTTATTGAAAACTTATTTTTGAAAGCGTACCCAGAAAAAAATACAGCAGGAAGAGGGAAAAAGGGATAAGACCCAGCACTAGAAGTGTGAATGGTCAATAAATCATTAAAATTTGTCATGTTATTGCCCTATAGATTCTGGATCTGGGGAGGCCACAGTCATTGTTGATAATATCCTGAAGAGACAGGTGGTTTCAGTGTAGTTTTCCCTAACATGCAAATAGTTCCTGGTACAAATTCAGTATCTTCTGAGGTACTGAAAAAACCCCTAAGTTTCTGAACTTCTTAACTACCTTCCATCCAGAATGCTTTATTACTATTAATAAATAAAGCTTGACTTCAGGAAATCATTGCTGTAGCTCTAGGCAGAGAACTATTGATGTCTGACTACCTGGTAAATAGAATTGGAATTTGGTTTCTGCTTCTAATCAGTAAACATAACAATCCTCTCCAGACTGATATCACCATTTGTGATTTGCTTTGTGTACTTCTACCAAATTTCATGTTTGCTCTTGCTTTTCAGATCTTCCAACTACTTCAATTACTGTACTGGTTTCTACAACTGCAGCATCCCGTACTGCCAGTACCACAACCATTGCAGCTGTAATTGGCAGTGCCAGTAACACCACTGAAGTCGTCCCCAAAGCTGTATCAGAAGCTACCATTACCACCCCAAGTTTTCATTTACCTTCCGCCACATCCATCCTTATAGATTCTGAGATGACCACTGGAAACAGCAATTTATCACAGCACTGTAAGAGAATGAGATTCCTTTTTTCTTTTTCTGTATATACGATATCACAAAAACTCATGCACTGGTGGGAGACCTGACCTAACAACTGAGTTATAAACAGGTCAGATGCAGGCACATACTGTTGCATTGCAGGAGAAATCAGGTACTCTTTCTGCAGACACCTCTGTTATGTGATTCCAGTTGCTCAGGATGTTAAGGAGCTTAAGTTTTCATCCAACACACGTAAAGCTGACTCTAGAGATAAGGCCCTGAGAGTTGATACTAGTCCTTGCCTTGTGCCTAATACTAGTTCATCCCAGCTTCAGTGCTGTTTGTAGTGCTGCATACCGTAATATGGATGATGCTACAGGCGCTTTACCTGTTTTAATTGTTTAATTATTAATGTGATCCAGCACAAGTTGTGGGTGAAACATGCCTCCTGTCCAGCTTTAGCCCTGCTGGACGTTTGGAATTACTACAGCCCAAGACAAGCTGCATCTGTTTTGCATGGTTGTGCTTTGCATGTTAATGTGGCCTGATCCATGACATACGTTTGATTTTTTTCATTACAATATTAGACAAGTATCCCAATGGAGAGCACTAATAGGCTCTCCTAAAGTTCACCCTACACAATGAGTGTGTAATGAAACAGCAACCTACCATCTCAGTGCTGACAGGTAATTCCTCTAGATCGTGCTGCCAAGGCAAAGCAGAAAAGCTGAACTGCTTTTCCAAAAAAAAAAAAAAAAACCCAACCCAACAAAAAAACCCAAAACAAAACAAAAAAAACCCCACCAAACATATTCTAGTCCAGAGCAAAGACTTTACTCTTCAGGACTGTTACTCAAGACCTCGAACAGATCTAGATTGCTTTAAAGAGTAAAATACCTTTTTCCCCTAAATGTTTCCCTGAGCAGAATAGGCAGTTTCCATTGCATCTGGAAAGCAAAAATAACCCATCCCTATTTGACTAGCATGCCTTTTTGTAGTAATAGTGATGCGCTGCACTCTGTACTGCATGTGGGAAGGCAGAATCCCATTTCTAAAATTCATTCTTGTAAGTTCTCTTTGTGCAAATTTTTTTCGAATGCAGTAATTAACTTTTTAATAAGCCATGGAAGCAAGGTGCTTGAATTGTCCACATTTGAAATAGTCTGGCTTATTAAGTAAATAACTATGTAATAGAACAACCTGCCAGAGGGAAGTATTTAAAAGGATAAATTGCCTTTTAAGTTCCATGAATTGGTGTATCAAAGGACAAACTACAGTTAGTTCCTCCTCTTTCAATTCCTGATATTTTAGCAAAAATAAATTTTCTTTACTGATCCCCTATTAGAAGAGCTCAGAGCAAACATTTTCAAGTATATAACTTGAAAGGTATATTGATTTTTTTAAAAATTATTTTTCCCTAAAATTGTTTTTTTCTCTTCTAAGTACAATACCGAGTTTTGGGGTCACTCTTGGATGCTGAGGCAGACTGCAGCAGTGAGTGATGTATGTGTTGACTAACTCCTTAGCTGTAAATAAATAAAAAAATAATTAAAAAGAAAAGCTGTGCACATGGCTTTGAACTACATTCTTCTTCTGACAGCTCAATAAATCATTAATTGTGTCAGTACTAGAAAGTGTTCTACTGTGGATTTTTAAGAGCACTATTCAGCATCCCCTGGATCCATGCATGGAATTTCCATTAAATGTCACGTTTTTTTAAAACAGGCCTCCTTTTTTGTGCTTGAAAATTGGACGCACAAGTATGGTAACTTACTCGTTTCTGGTTAGAGCTTCTCTATCTGGTAACACTGTACTGAGCGCTTCCCTTAACTGGCCACACTCTCCTGGTGTATAGTTTGCAATCCTGCGAGGGCAGTAGCACTTTACGACCAGGCTGTTTATTGTTCCTAAGAAAAAAGCAGGTCAGCTTAGCCCAGATTTGTGTGTATATGCTTTTTATCTTCTCTGTAATAATTTTATTACGGAACTTTTCATAAACTCTTCTATTACAAAAGCTTTCTGATGGGCAGAACAACATGGTTACTAACATAAAACATTCTTTAGACACAGCTTTAAAATCAGCAAATGAGTTAAATGATCAGAACTACTTCTGTAATTACAGATGCAAATAATGACCAAGGCTTTGATTCAACTGTGACAGCAGCTGTTATTGGAATTGTCATTCCTGTCGGTAAGCTGATTTGATTTAACCTTCGAAGGAGATCATACCAAAATGCTAGTGTAAATACACTCTTCCGACTTCCAGGGCTGGGGTGGGAAAGAGA